TAGGCTCATTGACTTTAGGCACTAGTTACCGTCTCAAGGCCTCAGTTTCCTCAACTGTAAAGCGGTGATAATGACAGCACCTAACTCCTAGGGTTGTTCTGAAGATTATCTGAGTTAATGTGTGTAAAGCACACAGAACACTGCTTGGCACAGGACTATAAATGTGAGTTCTTGTTTTCATTACCATGGTGAAACTTGTCTCTGAATTCAACCAAATCTCCTCTTCTGTCTACATCATAACAATTTATAATGAGAGGTGAGGTAACAAATGATGACCCTAAGGCTCTATAAGATCCTATATATGGGTACATGCGCTTAAGTGGCATTCACCTTTCCATTAAATTAACCTACTTGCTACATATTAAATTTGAAATAAAAAATGAAAAGGGTTCTTCTCATCTTTATCTAACTTAAATACTCTATTCCCACAAATATTTCCAGGCCAGAGAAGTTTTTCTGTATTTCAATAATGTCCAAGGTTCACATTTTGACTCAAACCTATGCTACAGACTACATGAATCCTTCCTCTATAAATTATCCAAAAGTTCCCAGTGGCATTCATATCAGGCTGCTTTAATACAGTTTAAATGAAAATTGAATGTTGTAAATTATTTAAATCTTCAAGTTAGCTAATTAGTCCTCATTAGAGGCGGCTCATTCTTCCATGTTAAAACATTTGGAAAAATTCTTCGAATCACTACAGAAACTGCTTAATATTCAGTCTCCAGAGTATGTCCATGAAGAGTTCTCTCCAGCATTTTCAGTACCCTTCCTTTACAAACACAAGAAACGAACATGAACAAAGCTGAAAATGAAGACCCTCTGTACTACCCTTCACAGCAAGCTGGCTTTCTGGGCATTAACAACCCTGAACCATCAAAACAATTAGGAGGGGCACACAAAGTTATAGCAATTGACATATTTGATTTTGCTAACTTTTGAGCCAAAAAAATTTGAGCCAAGTTTCTAAAAGTAAGCCTGTATTTGGATTACGGGGCCCAATTCCAAAACCAAGTTGTGCATTATTTGTAGCTTAACTGAAGACAGATAAATCTGTGAAAGGCTCCCTTTTTATGGGCTACTTTTGTCCCACAAGTATGTTAGCCTATACTCTGATTTTAATTCTGATCTGTGAAATCATAACCCAAGGACAAACGTATGCTCTCTTATCAACCACATTTTACTAAGACTGCTCAGGCCTTTATATTAACTTAATTCTATTTGTAAATCAAGCAGAAAATTCAGACTTTCATTTTTAATAAATAGCATTACCTCATGAGGCCACTTTGTTAAATTTTCTCTACCGGCTTCTCAGAAGGTTGCCACTTTAATCATGGAGCACTATCACCTTTTGATAACTAAATAAAAATCTGCACAAAACACAGCTGTGTCCAGAATACCTATGGCCTAATATTTAGAGTCTACTTCTTGACTCATAAATAATAGTTGCATTTCCAAGGTGATAATTTAGCCAGAAAGGCAGCACTCATTCATTTATACATTTTGCAAATAAGTATACAGGAACAGGGCTGAAAAAGGCCCTGTGTGATCATGTACATTGATATGTTCCTTTCCTTGGAGACATGTATGTTATATGACAGTCAAGACTGTCCTCGCCACAAGCCATCCTCCATCGATAGAGCCCAGGTTACTGCATGTCTTTCGAAGGGCTTTGCAGTCTCTCTCATCTACACTCCTAAGAAGCGGAGCTGATGGATTCCACTGCTTCCGTCCCTCTCCACTGCCTTCTCTCTCCTCCTCCGCTTTTGTCCACCTCTTTGGCTGCTTATTCCCACCTCTTTCCCCTTCTACTCTCACCTTGGCCCCGCCTATGAAAAACAGACCTTGATGTCTTCTCTTTCTCCAAGACATCACATCGTTCTCACATTAGCATCATCTCTTTTGGGAAAACTTGCAAACTTAAGAACTTCAAATGTATGTGATATCCCTTAAATTCCTTAAATTCAACCTGACCAAAATGCAATGCCTCGTCTTGCCCAAGAAAGCCAATTCCTCTGCCCTACTTCCTGCTTCGGTTAATGGATCCAGTAGGGTCACCGTGACCCAAGCTGTCTTAAGGAGTTCTTTGACTCCTCTTTTTCCTCAGCACCCCACCAACCCACCCACCTGATCTGTTACCAAGTCACATGGATTCAGATCTCTTCTTTCCACTACCATTACCACCCATCCTAATCTAGGCACTTAGTTCTTCCCCCTGAACATTCTAGAATTTTTCTCAGTGGGCTTCTACCCCGTCTAATCCATCTCAAATGATGCTATCATATTAATTTTTGAGAAAGGATATATGTACTCCAGAACCGACGAGCTTGGTTTCATATTCCAGCTCTGCAACTTCTTACTTCTGTGACTTTGGGCAAGTTACCTAACCTCTCTGTGCCTTCCTCTCACCATTTGCACACTGAGGATGATCACAGTACCTGCTTCATAGAACCTTTGTGAGAATAAAATGGATTCATAGTTGTGGAGCTCCTAGAACGGCATCCGGCATGCATTTAAATGCCTGCCACTACTTGCAGTTGGCACAGATCTAGTCATACCATGGCCTGCCACAAAGCCCTCAAGAGAGTCCCATGGCATTCTAAGGACAGCATGGTTCCTTGCCCTGGAATTCAATCTGCCCCCACCTGACCTTTCAGCTTCAGATCGCCCATCCTCATTTGGCCTGTAGGCAATCTGGAGGACATACTAGTCCCTGAACACTGTCCAGAGCCCCATTCCTTATCCTTGCTCTTGTCATTTCTAGGATCTTTCCACTCACATCTCTGCCTAATAAGACTCTGTCTTGCCTTCAAAACAACTTTAACTCCTCCATGAAGCTTTTTCTGAACGCTTCACTCAGATGTGTTCCCACCCGCCTGTGAATTCCTCCTAGCATAGGGGACATGTTTCTCTTACGGCAGTTACTTTTTCTATACCTCTAATTCCAGTCCTGCCATTCTCCCTCCAGCCTTAGAGCTCCATGAAGTTAATATGCACATTCATTATCATTGTATTCTCTATATCATCTAGCCCCCTTTTAATATGTTGGGATAACAAGAAAGATGGATTTGTGGGTGATCAGAACCACAGCCACCTCTGTGGTATGGTAGTTGGGCAAGTCCCAACGAAACGCTCTGCCCAGACTAGAGTCCTCATCATAGTTTCGAGTGATATCAAAACTCACGATATAGGTTGGATGGCCTCTCTGGCAAGTCTTTTTTTACAGGACACCAGAAACACAGTAGAATAAATCTAAGAGGAATGTGATTTGTAGCCTCATCATAAAACGCCAACATTAAAGTCACACCAAAAATGTTCCTTATCTATCATATTAGGCTCCAAAAACCATTGAATACTGTGTTTAATTGGCTAAATGCAATTTCCTGCTAGATCTACCATCGAGCAATCCCAAGAGAAGCAACTCAGGCCTCGGCGACTGGAGCTTGTTCAGTAACACATGAGCAACCTCTGGCACATCAGTCACTGCAGAATTGAACATAATGGCACATACACAGTTCCTACCCTCAGACTCACGAGAGGTCCCCAAACCCTAAACTCACCAAAAGAAAGCCACAACAATGCATATTCCCAACAATAGAGTGAACATTCAATAAACACTGCAGGCAGTGACATCATCCAGGTACATGGGGTCAGGGAACTGGCCCGCACATTATTCCATTCTGTCTAGGAGAGCTGTAACCTGACACCAGGGGTAGAGACCTCTTTGCTGCAGGAACTCTGGGCATTCAAGAGAGGCAGCAAAGGGCTCTTTCATTCCCACTTTCATTTCAGTTATTCAAGAAGCATCCTGCTCCCAGCTCCACTAAGAGAAATGTCCTTAAGACATCAGTTTCAAGAATCCCTATGATGAAGTGACAATTAAAGATTGTTTTCCCTCAAATAAAACATATGCTCTTGAAGGTCAAGAATACTGTCACTCTTGGAATGAACTGAATGCCTGGTGGTACCTCCAAATCCTCAGGCAGAACTGCCCAAATCCCAATTAACAGGTCAAGTCTTAGGAAGCTTACTAGAGTGACTATGGCTCATGTAACTACATTCATTTAATTGCACGTTAGATAAGACAACAAGAAAGTAAAATTAAATGTTTAAGTTAAAATATATTAAAAATATATATATTAAAACTACTCTGTAACACCAGCTCTTTTAATAAACGGACATAATCAAGTCAATTCAGCTTTCTTATTCCTTATTTGTTGCTTTTATTGAATAGAGATGTATCTCTAATTAAATTTTTACTATTCTTAACATATTAAGGTACCTTTTTTCCTGTAGACCAATGATCCTTTACAGAAAAGAGTTCCATACTCTTATCTTATACTCTCAAATCCTAATCCCACAGAAGCAAAGTAACCAATGAGAGTAAATCAGCACTCCTATACCATTCCTCAAAGGCAAAGAAAACAACACTGTGAAGCTTGGAGCACCCAAATAAAATAAGTCAGGATTTCGTCATCCAGGTAAAGTCTTATTCATCAATAGAACCTAAACACAGCTACCTCCAGCTAAATGTGTCCCACTTTCAAAAAAAAAGAGCTACACAAACAAAAACATCCTGAGAGACAACAAAAGACTTGTGAACTGTAAAGCTGAAGCACCTGTAATACACACACTGCCCTGGATTCTGTGGGTGCTCCATAAACACTCGGGGACTGATTCATAGGCCATTAGAGTCTGGCAAGGACAGAGCATGTCTCCCTGGTCCTGTTCTGGGAGTGTTAGGAATTCACAGTGTCAATCTGTTGTGGTGGTAAGAACTAATATAGACAGAGGTCTAAAAGGACTGAGGTGTTGACAGGTTCAAATTATGTTAACTTTCCCTGTATCTTTCCCCAAGCACCTGAGCCTTAAAAAATTGGAACTGTTACTTGCACCACTGTGGGAAAGTGAATAAAACTGCCATAAAGGTGCATATTGTTTCCTCACCAAAGAGCCAACAAGCTAAATGGTTGAGAAAAAAAAACAAAATAGAAACTTACTTTTCATAGACCAGCTCCTCATCGATGGAGAAATAGTGGGTATTTACTGTGCTTTTTGGTCTATTCCTTAAAGTAGCAAAATATAACCGATCTGAAAGACAAGTTTAAAAGATGGAAGAAAACATATGAGAAGTAGGGAAGCTGGGGGTAGGGGTGGTGATAATACATAAAAGATCAAAATAACAACTGCTACCCATTATTTAAAGACCCATTAACACGAATTCTTGCAGAAACCTGATCTCTTCCAGAAAGAGACCCCAGAGCACAACAGAGAGACAAGAAGATGACCTCTGACTGAGGGACTCGGCGGGGCAGAGCTCCCATATCTCCCTTGTTTCTAGTCAGCGGGAGCTGACAGAAGCTGGGGGTACCCGTAGAACTGGAGATGCAAGTTTGGTTCAGAAATCTCCAGACCTCAGCCGCTGCGGAAGAGAAAGAGAGAGGCGAGCCTTCCCCTGCAGCTCCGGAGACTTCAAGAAAAGGCAGGGGGGAGAGACAGCAGGGTGTGATGGGGGGTTGGGGGGTGTCCTGAAAACCGAAGTCAGCAAGTAAGTATAAAGATAAGGGGGATCTAAAGGGTCACCCGGAGCAGAGTCCCCGCGAGCTGCTGCGTGCAGAAGCGCGGCAGAAGGCGGTGGTGTCCCAAAACCGGGTGGGGAGGCCATCCGAGGGAGCTGCAGAGGGAACGAGGGACGCGAGAAAGACAAGAGAAGCCGGAAGCAGGGGGTCCTCGGGGAGAGGATAGTAGTGAGAGGGCTGAGAGCGCGCGCAGCGGCTGCAGGACACTGGGGGTCCCGGGAGAAACCGGGGGCAGTGGCTGGGACGTAGGGGCGAGAAGTGAAGTGTTGGGGGCGAAGGGGGGTTGGAGGAGGCGGGGCGGCTGCTCCTCACCTTTCATGAACTCGCAAGCCCCGATTAGTTCCCCTGACTCCGCTGCCATCTTAAGCGAGATACGCACGGGGGAGGGCTGGGTCGTGGCCAGCTGAGGTCACCCGCCCCCGGGGGCTTGCCCACTGCCCAGGAGCTGGGGAGCCTGCAGTCCCGAACACCGAGCCCGACAGCGAGAGGTAGCAGGCGCCGAAGGCGGAGGCGGCTGGGGGGTCAGAGCGCCGGGCGCCCCGGGGACATTCCGTGGGGAACTCGAGCCCGCTCCGCGCGGGGCGCACACGCCCCGGGCTGTAGCTGCTCGGATTCGGACCCGGCTGTTGCTGCTGCTCCGCCGCCTGGGAAACGCAGACCAGCTCTCACGGCCGGGCACAGTCTTCTCCCGGCTCCCAAAGTGATCATGGAGGAGCAGGCGTCTGGCCCCAGTCGCGCCCGTGGCTACTCGTGCGGCAGCGGGCAGGACTCTGGTGCCCGCGGGCTGGCAGCAGCGGCTCCGGCTCCTCCTTCGCCACCTCCTTTCAGCAGCAACTCTTCCTCCTCCTCCTCCCCCTGGGCCCGCCCCCAGACCTTCCTCCCCGCCCTCCCTCAGCCCCCTCCACTTTCACGGCTCCGCGGCCATCCCTTAAAGAGACAGCCCCTCTCCTTTCTCCGCTCGGCCCGCACCCGTTACCAGGGGCCCTGCGGGTCACTAAGAGCCGGTTGCTAAGGCTTTGTTGCGGTCCACCAATTGCGGTACAAGGAAGCAGGGCCCTCCGGCCGCAAGAGCCGGGCGGGGCCTCCAGACAAACTTATGAATGAAACGGCGGAGTGGGGAATGGATCGCCTGGAGGGCGCTGCGGCGACTTCCAAGGATGCGCCGGCGCTCCTCCCTTGTCTGCACCCACTCCAGATTTTTCTTCTCCGTCTCCCATTCTCTCGCGCGCCCCACTCACCCACGTTCTTCTAACCTCTTGCGCGAGCACACACACACACAAACTCTCTCTCTCTCTCTCTCTCTCTCTCTCTCTCTCTCTCTCTCTCTCGGTGCCTTGCCTTACCTCTAGCTAATCTTTCAAGCAACCCCCATCCCCATCTCTGATGCATCCCCATTTTATAAAAATTAAAATTAAAGCGCTACCTGCTAGCTCAGAAGAACTCGTACTGGTTCCCTCTATACATACTGGACTCTGATATAACTTGTGCTTTGTTCTCACGGGGGAAATCGTTCCCATCCGGTTCCCCCACGTACGCTCATTTGGGCCGCCACTGGGCGTAAAATCATCACAAATGCCTAACCTTTATATTGCTCTAGGCCCGCGGGGGCGGGGGTGAGGACGGCGGGGCGGAGGCGAGGCCACCCGGGGGGAGGGAAGTGGAGAGGGGCGAGGAGGGAGAAATTAACACAAAAGAACGTCTTTACGGCGTCTCGGTTGAAGCGCTGCAGGGAGTGGATCCTCTCAAAGAGGCTTGTTTCTGTGAAGCATCTCGTACTGTCTGAACAACTTTAATGTTGGGTGTCCTACGGACATGCCTAATTAGAGGGCCGATTCTTCATATGAAAATGGCGCTCCAGACCTATCATCAGAAGAGCATGCGCTTTGAGTGGTTTCTCCAGCAACAGGGACTGGCACCCGCTTGGGGATTCGCAGTGGCTAGTTTACCCCTTGGGAGAAAGGGGGCGCACGAGTCAAGAGTTGGTTCCCTGACTTGGGAGGAGCGCTTGGTGGTCGGCGAGTCAAGCTCAAATCATTGGTCTTAGCCCCTTAGACAGTTTTGCTGGCTATCCAAAAAGCTAAACCGGCACAGAAAATGATAGACGAATATTACTTCGACATTAAGAAAAAAATATTCGGAATATCTCAATAATTCCAATCGAACATGCCCTTGTAGGATAGTAAAAAGAAAAACTTATCCTGATCTTTAAACTCTAACGCCAGAGCCATATGAATTTGACGCTGAAAGAATCACTGGAAGATCACCGCCTACCATCCCATCCTCATCACTCGAGGAAAAACTATCTCAAAAGGGTTTTTTAAACTGTAAAAGTCCAGAAAAGATGAGTCGTAATGAGAGTTCTACTCTGTTGAGATGCATTCCAGGTTTTACAGATCACTGGCCATTGTTACAAAGTTCTAAAGGAAGCATCTCTGACACATGTCCTCAATCACACAATTAGGTGAATTTTGCCTGATATTTACTCTCCCAAATCTTGATGTCAACAATCCAGTTGGCAAATTCAAATTACTTTACTGAAAAATTCTAATTGAGAATTTATATCTGAAAGATACAGAAAAGCAAAGTATATGACTGCCCCAATAAACTTACCCACTTTGTTTAAAAAGCTAAATTAATTCAATGATGGCTATCTTTTTCTAAATTTGCTGATTTAAAATTCATGTAGAATCTAGATCAGCTTAACAAATTTCCTAAAATATTTTTATACCAGTGTTGCATTAGAAAAATTACGTAAGGGGCTGACCGAGTGGCTCAGTTGGTTAAGAGTTAGCTTAAGAGCGCGAGCTCTGAGCAACAGGGCCGCTGGTTCAATTCTCACATGGGCCTGTGAGGCTGCACCTGAGCTAAGCTGCCAACAGGTGGCAGGATGACTCAGCTGGTGAGAGCATGTGCTCCTAACAACAAGACTGCCTGTTCGATGGTGGGCTATGACTGGCCACAACTAATACTGAACTCGGCACCTTGAGCTGAGCTGCCACCCAAATGGCTCAGTGGATAGACCGTGCGCTCTTAACAACAAGGCTGCTGGTTCAACTCCCGCATGGAATGGTGGCTACGCCCACCCACAACTAAGATTGAACACAGCACCTTGAGCTTAGAGGCCACAAGCTGCCAATGGGCAGCCAGATGGCGACTGGCGCCCTCCACAACTAAGACTCAATAACAAAACTTGGCTGGTCCTCCTCACCAATTACCCAACACTGTTCCGCTCCCCCAATTCCCCAATAAATAGAAAGAAAGAAAGAAAGAATACATTAGAAAAAGAAATCTAACTTCTCATTAATAAATAATTATTTATTATTATTTATTAATAATAATAAAATTTTTATTATTATTCAACAAATAAAATTTTAATTTCTCAAAGTAAATAGTCTAATGAAAGGAGCTCTAAATCTACACTTTCAGAGAGAGCAGATTTAATTGAACACCTCTTGTTATTTTCTAAAATAAATTTATGAAAACATTTTCTTTCATATAATTCTCCTGCTTAGATATTTTGTTCATGAGGAATGAATTATGACCTAAATAGAAGTCCTTAAAATTAAGAACTCAAAATGGAAGCTTATATTTCCATAGCATATTTATAATATGAATATTATAATAAAGTTTTTGAAATTACAATATTCATTTTGAAGATTCTAGAAATAATGTTTTTTTAATGTTACATGAAAGGAAAATAAGTGATTGCCAGCATAATCAAAGCTCTCTAAAGCAAACCTGCACAATCTAAATGGTACAGAAAATTCTACAAGAAAAATTGTGAACAAGATAGGGCACACATAGTAATTATACATGTCCAGGTTCTAATGAGATCATAAAGCATTTTATTCTGTCAATTATCATGAGGTCAAAATTTCTACTGGTTGTAGTTTCATAATAAAGTCATGATTTCACAGTCTATGGAGGAAGATAATGGAAGAAACTTCTTTCCAGTCACCCAAGTTAATATAAATGTTAGGAATTGATTTTATTTTAAACAACAGTAAAGAAAGGAGTTTCACACATAAAGGAAATATTAGGTTGTCGGAAAAGTCATGACGTATGTTTTTTATGTTTTTCGTTGCAAAAATGCATCATGACTTTTCCAACAACCCATAGTAAGAGAATTAAGATGTACTCAACTGCAGAAAGGAAGGTAGTGTTATACCTAGAAATTTAAGTTAAGTGTAGAAGATGTCTCAAGTTTGAAAACGACAACATTTAGTCCAACTCAGCAAACATCACTTGAATCCTACCCCGGACGCCCTGAGAGGTGGTCCAAGGCCTGTGCTTGTGCACCTGCAGAACTAGAAAATTCTGCTAGAGGCCACTCTGAAATATGTCACCATCCTCTCATTCTAATGCTGCCCCTTGAGGCTGTACTGAACGCCCTTAGTCACTCTTACACACAACAACTCTTCAAAAATGCAACTCCCTTGGACCACTTCCACCCCTTAGTCTTCCCCACATTAAAATCCCTATTTTCTTCAACCTTTTCTAAAATTACATGACTTCAAGCCCCTTTGCTATCTAGTCACTCTCTTTTCCAATTTGTCTATATTTTGTTATAAAATGTGTCCCAGAACTGAATGGAGGCCAGTGGTGGCCTGGTGTGACCAGTTCTGATATCAGAAAAAAAGGCACCGATGGAAGATTCAGATGGGAACAAAAGCAATACAATAAAAAAATTTTAAAAACCCAGAACTATGTTTTATAATTTAGCTGCAAGAAGAAAGGAAATAAATACTCTGTTGTTGGGAGAGGTTAAGGAAAAAGTTGTTCAGGGTAGTCAGAGGCCTGACAGCGCTTTTACTTACATATTCCAATCTTTCAAAATTATCATTTCTCAGAATGTATTATTAAAACATGCTCTTTTAGTTGTTTGTTCAACCATGATGATATCCAAACAAGTAAAAGAAAATATCAAATACATACTTGGTATTCTTTCTAAAAATTAATTTTCAGTTCAACTATGGAAACAAAGAACAGCAGAAAGCTGCACTGCTGAGTAATTTGAAATTCACAATAATTTGAACGGTTTACATAGTTTGACAATCAATTCCTTGTCTTGTGACAAAAATACCTAATTTAAAGCAGCTTTTAGTAAAATACACATACAAAAGTTATTAACAGGTAAAGAAGAATACAAAAACTATGTGGACAGTGTGGCTTATGATATAGCTGCCCACAGATGCTAAGATCTGGGCCTAACCCAGCCATATTCTGCATCACACTAATCACCATGCCTGTTTAAGAATTCCAGACCAGAATCAAAGATAGTAAGAACCAGAACTAGTCAATAAAATAACTAGTTCCAGTTTTCAAATAGACTCCATGGAGCCCAAGGTAGCCGAGGCCCCAACAGACTAGCTTTTGCCTATTTAATATATTTTATTTGTAAAAGATTATGTGGCAAAATAGAGTAAAGAAAAGAGAAGAAAAAACAGAGGTCCATAGTGGAGAATCGATTTTCCAAAGTCACATAGCTTATTGGTGGTAGAAATAAGACCAGTTTTCATTATTTGCTCTAATGCCAACAATCTCGTCTCAGTTTTCTCCTAACTGAGTTTATCTTATATTGTTTAGCTTATAGGTTCTTTTGAAATGATAAAATACCAAGCAATAATGTGTTTGCACAATAATTATTTTATTCAAACTTTTAGAGAAAACATTGAAATAATTTGAACTAAGAATGAAAAATAAAAGATGTTGCATCATCTGCTATTGCTATTATTGTCATGGCATCTATAAAAACTTGAATTATTTTTTCATCCTTTGACTTATTAATAATATGCCAGAGTTCTATAGAACATAGTTTAAAAAATACTAGTTCAATGA